TAAGTTGATTTTGATCAAAGATGCCACTTGGTGTATCATCAAGTCTCCTTCTTATCATAAAAGAGCATGTCTGACCTCCATTCCTTTGTTATAGTCAGTTCTTCTGCTTAATGTATCTGCGTTAGTATTAAGTTTCCCACTCCGATATTTAATCTTAAAGTTGAATGACGATAATTTGTATGACTATCTTAGCTGTCGTCCATTCAACACCTTGGTAGTAGTGAAGTTTCGGAGATTCTGGTGGTCTGACAAGACTAAGAATGTATCTTTTCTGCCTTCCAGGTAATGTCGCCAGTGTTTGAGTGCGTCAACGATTGCTAGCAGCTCTTGATCGGATGTAGAGTATCTGGTCTCTGCATCAGTAAATTTCCTTAAGTGGTAGGCTACCGGTTGCCATAGCCCATTTTTGTCCTGTTAACTTAGGACCGCTCCGAGAGCATATTTGGAAGCATTTGTCTTAACTCTTATCGGCTTTTTCTCATCGAATAATTGTAGTACCGGTGTAGTTGTGACCAATTTCTTAAGCTCGTCAAAGGCCTTTTGAGCGTCCTCGGTCCACTGAAACTCCTGGGAAGTGACGCCAGCGTTTTCCCTCTTCTTAGTGAGTTCAGTAAGTGGTACTGCAATCCTTAAGTATCCAGGGATAAACTGTTGATAATAGTTCGTAAATCCTAAAAATGCTTGGACTTGCTTAACCGTTCGCGGTTTAGGCCATTCCTTAACTCTTTCGACCTTTTCTGGATTTACTTCCAATCCCTTTTCTGATATAATCAGTCCAATAAACTCGATTCTTTGTTTATGAAACTCGCATTTGGATGGTTTAAGCCGTAAATTATGTTTCTTTAGCGCTTTCAAGACCTTTCGGACGTGTTCGACGTGTTCTTCAAGCGTCCGGGAGTATACTAATATGTCGTCCATATAGACCTCAACATACTTGTCCAAGTGTTCCCGCAACACATGGTTCATGTATGCTTGCATGGTAGCTAGGGCATTCATAAGCCCAAATGGCATTACCCTGTACTGATAGTGCCCTCGAT